CAGTCACTGTGAACACACCCTCTACAGTCACTGTGAACACTACAGTCAGTGTGAGCACACCCTCTACAGTCACTGTGAACATACTCCCTGATGTGTAGCATGAGTGGCAACTTTAGAGGCACTGAAGGAGTGACATGGATTTGATTCCCTCCATTGACATCACCAAATAAATAAACAAGCAGACAATAATCATACGCTCCAGAAATAGGAGAACAAGCAGCAGTATATTCTCTAAAACGCCCTTTCTCCAAAACAACAGAAATCACAAGGCATGGAAAGAAACAGGAAAATATGACTCACGCAGTGAAAAGCAAACGAAAGCAGGCAGCAGAGACCGCCTGCGCAAGCGGGCAGAGGTCAAATTCGACAGACGCAGCCTTCAAAGTCACTGCTGTAAACAAGGAGCCGAAGGAATTAGGATTAAAGACGGGAAGGCCTGTCCAAGGACAATGTCACATCAAATAGAGTGTATCACGAGAGAGAAAAGTTATTTTGTTCAAGGTCAGTATGGGCCACATAGTTCCAGGCCAGCCTGGGTTACAGAGTAAGACCAAAAAGAAAACAAATGAAAAGTTCATAAACGCGTTGTTGCTGGGTATGGTGGCACACGCCTTTAATCCCGGCACTCAGGATGCAGAGGCAGGCGGAACTCTGTGAGTTCGAGGCCAGCCTGGGCTACAGAGTAAGATCCAGAACAGGCACCAAAACTACACAGAGACCCTGTCTCAAAAAACAAAAAACAAAATTAATAGACCAAAACTGTAAGCATATACTTGTTCTCTGTTTAATTAGTGTTTTTTATTTATTTAATTTAATTTTTTTTTACTTTTTTGTTTTGTTGTGTTTTTGTTTTTCAAGACAGGGTTTCTCTATGGCCCTGGCTGTCCTGGAATTCACTCTATAGACCAGGCTGGCCTCAAACTCAGAGATCCGTCTGCCTCTGCCTTCTGAGTGCTGCAATTAAAGGTGTGCACCAGCACTGCCCAGCGGTATTTTTTATTTCTAAAAGAATTGTAAAGATTATTTTTAAAAATAGTTTATGCGCATGGGTGTTTTTCCTGAATTGTGTTTGTGTGCTACATGCTTTCCTGGTGCCCAAAGAAGACGGCATTGGATCACCTGGGACTGCAGTTACAGAGGGCTGTGAGCTGCCGTGTGGGTGCTAGAAACTGAACCTGGGTCCTCTGGGTGCACAGCCAATGCTCTTAACCACTGAGCCATCTCTCCAGCTCCTTCATTTTTAATTATGTGTGTCTTCACATAATTAACATGTGCACTCCACACAGGAGTGCAGTGACCATGGAGGGCAAGTGTTGGATCCCATGGAAGTGGAGTTACCAACTGTGGGTTCTGGGCACTGAATTCAGGTCCTCTTGAAAAACAGGAAGCTCTTTGAATTGCTGAGCCATCCGTCTGGCCCTTCATTAATTTTTTTTTTTTTTTAAAGATTTATTTCTTTATTATGTGTACAGTGTTCTGCCTGCATGCATCCCTGCAGGCCAGAAGAGGGCACCAGATCTCATTAGATGGTTGTGAGCCACCATGTGGTTGCTGGGAACTCAGGACCTCTGGAAAAGCAGCCAATGCTCTTAACCATTGAGCCATTTCTCCAGCCCTCATTAATGTTTTAAAAATTACGTTTATTGGGCTGGAGAGATGGCTCAGTGGTTAAGAGCACCGACTGCTCTTCTGGAGGACCGGGGTTCAATTCCCAGCACCCACATGGCAGCTCACAACTGTCTGTAACTCCAAGATCTGATTCCCTCACACAGACATCCATGCAGGCAAAACAAATAAATAAAAATAAATAAATAAAAAAAATTACTTTTATTATACTTACCTGGCAGGAGTGAAGGTCAGGTTTTCCCAGGATGAGGTTCGTCCACTGCACTCCAGATGTGCAGCAGCTACCTTAGCGTTTCTGGTGCTTCACGGGACCCCAGGACTTTGGGGGCTCGAGGGGTTTTATTTGAGGCCATGAAACTCTCAGACATTTTGGTGATTCTGGATTAGCCCAGGCCTTAGGACAACTGTTATCAGGAGGACTCCTGGGGGTAGCCTGCACCCATTGCCTGACCTGGGAGGCTCTGTGGGGTCTGGAGAGGTAGTCCTGTCTGCCTTCCCCCACCCAGAGTTTGATGAGCACAGAGTACAGCCCCGCCTGAATGCCCAAGGAAGGGGTTTATTTCTCGGAGAGAGCAAAGTGACCGTATGTGTATGTTTATTTACATTATTTAATTAATACGTTTGGTTAGGGTTTTGTTTTTGTTTTTAATGTTTGCGTATGTGTTGGAGTCTCTCTCGTTCCACCATGGGGTAAGAAGGATTATTCTCAGGTCATCAGGCTGGGCAGCAGGTACTTTTCTCACTAAGTCATCTCCCCAGCCCCTCTCTGCCCCCCATTTTGGTGTGTGAGTTTTTGCACTCATGGAAGTGGAGGCCAGAGGAGGAAGTGACCAGGTCTATCACTACCACCCTAGTCCATTGAGATAGGGTGTCACTGAACCTGGAGCTAGTCCAGCAGCTAGCAAGCCCCAGAATTCCTCCTGTCCACAGCCACGGCCACACTCTGCTGTAGTGTTGTGCTGGGCGTTTGAACTCAGGTCACTTGAGGAGCAAGTGTTCTTACCCACTGAGGCATCTCCTCAGTGCTGTTTGTGGCATTTTAATTTTTTAAGTTATTATTTATGTTAATTATTATTTATGTTGAGACAAAGTCTCTCTTTATAGTCCTGGCTGTCCTGGAACTGGACATTTAGGCCAGACTGGCCTGGAATTCACGGAGATCCCCTTGTCTCTGCCTCACAAAGCGTGTGCTACTACACCCAGCGTGTGTGTGGTTGTTAAAGGGGACTATTTTTTGGTTTAATAATTCAGTTTAGACTTGTGCGTATATTTCTATGTGATCAGAAGACCAGTTTTGTTTTCCTAGAAAAGTCTCGAGTAGGGAAAAGTGGTGGCAGTCTGTTTGTCTTACATTTACTTATTTTGTGTATATGTTTGAGTGTGGACATTCTTGAGCCTTGAGGACACGCGTGGAAATCACCCGACAAATTGCTGGAGTCCGTTCTCGCCTTTACCAGGTGGGATCCTGGGATTGAACTCAGGTCGTCAGGAGTGGCATCCAATGCCTTTCCCGTCCAGCCGCTGAGTCATCTTGGAGTCCGGTCTTTTCCCTTCCTGGGGACAAGTCACTGTTCCCTCTGCCCTCCAGTGTCTCTTTACCCAGGCTTCCTGTTAGAGGCCTTCAAAGCAGGAGGATCTCGGGAGATCCGAGGTCAGACATTTAAGCAGTTGAGAGAATTCCGGAGGCTGTAAGGACTTTGCGTTGGCTATAGTGTCTTGAGAAAGTATTGCCTCCCCCGGAGCCTCAGTTTCCCGGGGTGTCAAGTGGCTCCTTCTTCGCAGCGCGTCAGCTCCGGGAGGGAACCGATTTTATTCAACAGGTGGCAATTCCCAAGGTGAGAGAGGCAGGCTCCACCCGCAGAGTCAGGACAAAGGCCAGGCCCCGGGGCGGGCCCCGGAACGGTTTCCACCTGGGGCTGCCGTGAGGGTGACTGTTGGCCGCAGGGGCACCTTTGTCCCGCACCCTGGGCAGCTGGGATCCTCGGGAAGCGGTGGGTGGGCGCGAGCTGAGCGCCGCAGGTCAGGGCGCGGGAAGGGGCGGGCCTGGGCCGGGTGGGCGGAGCGGCGGGAGAGCGGCAGGCGGGGAGGTAGGCCGTGGGTGCAGGCAGTGGGGCGGGCAGGCCGGGTCGGCCCGGGTGCCCGGGGTGCTGCCCCCCGCCGGGTGCCATAGGGGCTCCTCCAGGTCAGGGGTCCGAGAAGCAGTTCTCCAGACCTCGTGTTCGCCGCACGGAGCGATCGAGCCTAGTGTCCTGCAGAGGACGCTCGTCAGCCGCGTTCTTACCACTGTCATCTTGTCACCCCCCCCCTTTGTTTAGCTCCACCCCCGGGGCTGGGAAACCCGGCGGCTGACGGTCCGCGGTCCCCCGGGCCCAGGCCCCGGGCTGCCCCGCCTGGTCTCCCCCGGCCACGCGCCGCGAGCCCGGGATGCAGCTCTCCAACAGGGCGGCAGCCAGGGAAGCGGCGAGCCGCGACGTGCTGGCCGCGGACCTCCGCTGCAGCCTCTTCGCCTCGGCGCTGCAGAGCTACAAGCGGGACTCGGTGCTGCGGCCCTTCCCCGCCTCCTACGCCCGCCAGGACTGTAAGGACTTCGAGGCCCTGGTGAGTGCGCCCTGATCCAGCGTTGCTCGCCGCAACCCCGGGCCAAGTGGCCCCGTGGAGCAGCAGGCAGCGGCAGCGCCACCCGTGTTAGAAAACACGCCGGTCCCTTGGACTTCCCATTCCCAGCCTGGCCTTGGGGAAGGCTCCCACCAGCAAGAACACACTCCTAAACACCCTCGTGTAGACACACACTGCCAAGTCATTTGGTGGCTGCTTCCTCGTGTCAGTTAGTGACTCCCAGGAGTGACCGGAGGAATAGCTGTATAGTCCTCCACGAAATGCTCCAGTGTGTCCCCAAAGGGGCGTTGATCTCAACCAGCTGCTCTGCCTAGCTAGGAAGTTGCCCCTCCCTTTGCAAGCAGCTAGACTTTGCTCTTCAGATAAAAGTTACATAGGAACAGTTCTTACATAAACTATAAACTGTCACACACAGTGCACATATGTATTGTTAATTTCTGATGATTTATAATTCTGAGTGCGGGGATTACAGGCTTCAACACTATGCCTGGCCTATAAGGCATACCGTTTTTTTGTTTTGTTTTGTTGTTGTTGTTGTTGTTTTGTTGTTGTTGTTTTTCTCAAGACAAGGTTTTGCTGTGTAGCTTTCGAGCCTGTCCTGGAACTCTCTGTGGACAAGAATGGCCTCGAACTCACAGAGATCTGCCTGCCTCTGCCTCCCGAGTGCTGCGATTAAAGGCCTGATATCACCGCCCATCGTCCTAGGCATATCATTTCTTGAAGGTCCAGTATTCCAGATGTCAGCTATCCTTGTAATCCAAATATTTGGAATTACCTGGGAAGGTGTAACTCGCCAAAATTGACTCAGTAAAGAAAATATAAAGTCTCTGGTAGTGGTGTGTACACTTACAATTTCAGCACTCAGAAGGATGAGGTAGAGCACAAATTTGAGGCTAGCCTGGGCTACAAAAAGAAACCAGCAAACAAACCTTTGAGCCTAGCTGCTTCATTGATGAGCGCTCTTTCAAATGTAGGGGTGATACCGACATGCAGTCTCATAGAAATTCTTCCGACATACTGATATGTAGTGAGATGTGGTGGCAGGCAGACACCTGTAATCCCAGCACCTGGGAGGTGGAAGCCGTAAGATCAGTAATAATTCAGGGTCAGCCTCATGTTGAGTTTTCTGTACAGCCTGGACTACATAATACTATCTCAAATAAAGCAAGACACTAGGAAAGAAAAAGAGGCTGGCATGCGATTGGTATTAAATCTCATGAGGGTAGTACAGGAAAATTATTGAGCAATGCCATTCCCGAGTGTAAATGCAAAAATCCGGGACTAGGGACATGATTCAGAGGGCGAGAACACTGGCTGCTCTTCCAGAGGTCTCGGGTTCAATTCCCAGCACCCACATGGTGTTTCATAACCATCTAACTCTAGTTCCAGAGGGTCCCAGACTCTCGTCTGGCCTCTGCCAGCACCAGGAATGCACATGGTACTCAGACATACATGCAGGTAAAACACCCATACGTTAAAAAAAAAGTTTTTTAAATACAAAAATCCACCTACAAAGTATTAGGACCCCAACTCAATGTATAATAAAAGGTAATTCATCATCACGGGGTTGAATCCCTGTTAGGAATGCATAACCTTTCCAGTTCTAGGACATTAACTAATGTAATGAACCATGTTCATCGATGAAAGAAATGTTCAGAATGGACATTCAGTTTGTAGCACCATCTCCGATGAGGTCGTGAGTACTGGGTTCCCCCTTTGCTTTTTTTTTTTTCCTTAGAGGTCAAGCAACAAACAAGGGGTGAGCCTTCTGGCTCCACCTGGCGCTCCCCATCCTCCCGTGTGTGGAGGATGTCTGGGTCTCGGCCACAATGTCCAGGCCGGTTAGGGGGCAGGAAGTGGGACATCAAGGAAACAGGCAAATTGACTTCCACCATGGTTTGTTCCGCAAAGCTCTGGTATTCCCTTTTTTGAGTTTGTGATGTAAGGGACTTGGGCACAAAACATACTTAAGCTTGACAACAGATATTTATAGGTCAAGTGACTTCAAAGGCTAATTTTCAAAGAAAAGCAAGCCCATTCTGGATCTGGCCTTCTGGATCATTTTGTGGTTATCTGAAGAAGGTAACTTAGGAAGCTGTTTTTTTTGTTTTGTTTTGTTTTTAATCCCTCATTTTCTTGCTGAAAGCATTTGGATTTGGAAAGTAATATGAGTGTTTGCTACTTTTGGCCATTTATAGTTACTTTTCTCCACAGGCCTAGGTGTTACTACATGTGTTGTAGCTTTGGACAATTAGTTTGAATTCAAACCTCTGGTTTGAATTGTTTTGTTGACTGTTGCCTGCTAGAGAACCCTTTGATAAACCAAGTTCCTGGCATTAGGCAGGGTCTGGCCTTACCCTGCCACTGTCCCCAAAGCTCTCAGTTATCTGAGGTGCCTTGTTTTGAGAACATTTCTATGTTAACTTAGTTCTTTGATTTTTGTTTTGTTTTTCAAGACAGGGTCTCTCTGTGTCGCCCTGGCTGTCCTGGAACTCACTTGGTAGCCCAGGCTGGCCTCAAACTCATAGAGATCTGCCTGGCTCTGCCTGCCAAGTGCTGGGATTAAAGACGTGTGCCACCACCACCTGGCCAGTTCTTTGTCCCAGCCAGATTTTCACTGTTGGGCCTGGCCTGGGAGGTCCTTACCCAGATTGGAGGAATCTAACTGAGTATGTGCTGATTGTACAGGCTGAGTCCCTGACTTTGTTCCTTGGCACAGGGGTTTCATAAGCCTTATCAGGCCAGAGAATCTATAGCCCTCTTGGGATTTCCTGGTCCTTTTTTGCCTTTTTTTTCTCCAAACTTGCAGTTACCATTTTCCATCAGCCCTCATCACTGGCTGTAACAACTATTCAGCCTTTGTTCTGGTTTTCTGTTAGACCACAGACCCTTTGTCGGAGTGGGAGGTAGCTGGTGATGCCTCCTCTGAATTGACTCCAGGCTTCCCATGCTTCAGGGTGTTTGGGACGGAAATCCACACTGGCATCCCAGTCATCATCACCTTGGGGCTTGTTAAAATGGCAGGGTGGAGCTGGCAGGCTGCCTGGGTAAAGGTGCTTGCTGCACAGGCCGATGACCTGGGCTTGGTCCCTAGAACTCAGAGCGGAAGGAGAGAACTGACTCCTGCAAGTTGTCCTCTGACCTCCACAGTCACTGTGGCACACATATGAAACACACACACACACACACACACACACACACACACACACACACACACTGCTGGAGGCAGAGCAGGCTGACCTCTGTGAGTTTTGAGGACAGGTTGGTTTATCTAGTGAGTTCCAGGATAGCCAGTTAGACTCCACCCCCCAAAATTAATTAATTAAAAAAGGTTTTCAGTGCCTGGAGCCCTCCTGATACCATTTCTGCTCTGTGCCCTGGAAACTCCTTCTCCTGTAAGACTCAGATGAAAGTTTTCCTTGTTCTCTGGCCCACTTAGAGCAGACAGTCCTAACCCTGGAGGTATTTTATTATTTATTTTGCATTTTTTTGTGTGTATTTGACTGTGTGTTGGCTCGTGTGTGTGTGTGTGTATGTGTGTGTGTGTGTGTGTGTGTGTGTGTGTGTGTGTATACGCGCGCACTGGTGTGGAGACCTGAAGCTTATATCTGGTGTCTTCTCCATCACTCTGTTTATTGAGGCAGGATTTCTCACAGAACCTGAAACTTGCCAATTCCAGCTAGTCTAGCTAGCCAGAGTGCCCGGATTGTAGCTGGCCCACACACCTACCAGCTTTGTTGTATGGGTTTTAGGGATTCAAACTCTGGTCCTTCTGCCTGCGTAGCAAATACCCTATCCACTGAGCCACCCACCCACCCCTACTCCACCACCCCTTCAATGTGATGCTGAGGATCAAACCCCAGGAGCTGGTATTTGTTAGGCAGATACTCTGTCAACTAAGCTACATGCCCAGTTTTTGTTTGTTTGTTTGTTTGATTTTTAAGCCCAGACTGATCTGGAATTTGGAATCCTCCTGCCTCAGACTTCTGAGTACTTGGGATCACAGGTGAGCACTACTATGCTTGCTTCTTTCACAACTTTTAAAAATGGCTGTGGTGGTTTGAAAGAAAATGGCCCCCAAAGGGATTGGCACTATTAGGAGATGTGGCTTTGTTGGAGTAGGTGTGGCCTTGTCTGAGGAAGTGTGTCATTGTGGGGGCAGGCTTTGAGGTCTCAGGTATGTTCAAGATACCACCCAGTGTCTCTGACCACTTCCTGGGACTCTCAGCTAATTCTCCAGCACCACGTCTGCCTGCACACTACCGTGTCCCACCATGATGATAATGGACTGAACCTCTGAGCTATAAGCCAGCCACCCCAATTAAAAGTTTTCCTTTGCAGGAGTTACCCGTGGTCATAGTGTCTCTTCACAGCAATAGAAACCCTAGCTAAAGGCCGGGCGGTGGTGGCGCACGCCTTTAATCCCAGCACTCGGGAGGCAGAGGCAGGCGGATCTCTGTGAGTTCGAGGCCAGCCTGGGCTAC